AAGATCTACCTATGTATATATTTATATATACATATATATAGATATTTTTTACACTTTGATGTTCGAGAAGACTAAATGCATTATTTGATATGTATCGTACTTAATTGTTTCCTAAATATGTTGAACCGATTCATATCCCTAAACTGAGGACAAGTAATTTGGAAATATTTATGTTGTATAATGTAGAGGACTGATTTAGAATTATCAAACACATTCTGACGATGACTTGTAATATATGTTCTTTTATACATTTCCCTGGTCTTATCACGGAAGATCAAACTAGCTCCTAATAAAAATCTCAAGGGAGACTTTCCAAACTTACTTCAACCTTCTATATCAACAGTAGTTTCTGTAAAATTAACATCGGATGTTGATGCTTTGTACACAAGCTTTATGACTAATGATTTACCAGGCGTCAAATTGTACAGTTGTCCCAGAGACCTATAGGGTGCGTATCATAAACAGTTATTTATCAACCGACAGCAAACTCCACAAAGTATAAAGAGTGTAGACTCAACGTAGCGTTAAATTGAAGTCGAAATCTCGAAAGATTTACCCTAGAATTTTACGGGAAAATGTTTCGAATTTTGAGCCTGCTAGAAAACGAACACGAGATACCAAAGAGGCACATACATGTATTATAATATGCATGTATGATATTCTCTTTTTTTTTCTTTTGAGTGTTATCATTTGCTATATTGAAGGTGAATGAATCATTATTTTAATATCATTCAATAATTAGGTAACAAATTTGAAATTTGAAACCGATCCTTCAAAAAGGTCAAAAGAAGCAGTGATGAAAATTAACTATAAAAATTTTAAAAAATGGTGGCTCGTCGGCCATATTGCATAACTGATCATCCTTCAAATTGAACACAACCATTATAGGACCAGGAGGAAGGGGAACCATGTCTACAAAATGAGAAATATCTATCTAGTTTTGTCAGGAAATAACAATATTAATGATCATTTATAGAACTACAAATGATGGACCAGCTGATCAGTGACAATGCCAACAGCAAGTAAACTTACTGGATTCCAATTAACAATAACAAACTAACAAAAAATTGATGATGGATTTTTTAATGTTTTTATGACATACAGGTACACGTCTGTATGAGAAACATGGTGGCATTTCAGTTATGGCACACACCCGAGATACACAACGTTCCAGTACACTACATGTAGTTTGATGTGTACCTTACACAGGATTAGATATACACAGGACGATCATACACATCTCTTTAGGAATTCAATTTGGTCCACATATTACACTACATGTTTTCCAAGATCATACCAATATGTATTAATTAATTAAAAAAAAAACTATCTCCACTTCCCTTGGAAACATGATTGGTCCAGAAATATATAAAACACATTACCCTATATTAGACCCACTGAGAATAAATTTGGTTTACCTGTATAATTATATATGTATACACTGTACTGATAATCTGCCTATGGTCTTGTTAATGACAGTACATAAGTATGGATCAGACATGTCTTACACAATTACTTTGTATATAGTAAATACCCTGTCATCAGTGCTACATAAGTACACAGGTATTATATCATGTTTATCACAAACAAGTAATATGACCTAGTGGAACTCTGATTAGCCACAAGTTCCGATTGTTTCCATTGTTGTGACGTCATAGCTTCGTGGTGACGTCATAACTTCATGACATCAAATATACGATGACGTAAAATGCATTGTACATGTAAGCCACTAAAGAAAGAGATACAGTAAAAATATCAATTCAGATTTTTTATGTCATTTTTTTTTAAATTTTGTTTTCACGCTCATCTACATTATAATAGTATTTAAACTATGTGATAAACAGAATCTCATACTCTTGTTTCCTTTTCATTTGAAATTTACAAAACTGTAACAAATTTTTTCATGTAAAATGAAAAATTCTTAAATTTGTTTCATAAATTTCCTATCTATCAAAATTCCTGTTTGGTCCTGATATATCTGTGTAAGCTGATTTTATTCATTACATTTATCAGTGAGAATGCAACAGATTCTGGACTGTCACCCATACAACAAGATATGATATATATCAACCTGACCCTTGACCTTCAGACTCACAAGGCTTTCCAAAACACTTTTAATTTCAGGTTGTCTTATCAGTCCAAAGGAGAATCTATATAACACAAATTTACCAACAAAAAAAGAAAAAAAGTTGGTATCAATCCAACGTATTAACAAATACATTGTATTACATCTCACAGTTAACAATCACCATAATAAGCAGTATAAAATCTTACTGAAAACCAACAGCAAAACATCCTTTTTCTTGTATATACATTCATCAATTACAATCATTGCAGACTTTCACTCTTGGGTTCGCATTCAATTCAACATTTACCATTCACAAAAAACACATCCTTTTACACTGTGCTCTGAACTACAAAGACTTCACACATTTTCACTCCTTTAATGATAGCACAATTACATGGTCATATTTTGTGATATATTCCAACTCCCACTTTCCTGTACAGTCTGACTGTACACAACCAGTGAGAGTTATCAACATTATATATATATATATATGTAAAATTACAAAATTCATTAATAATATCACAGTGATTCATCACACCTAGTTATTGCATAAAAGATTGGTGTGTGGTTCAGGATTTTAGTACAGCCAAACCTGCATTAAAAGTCAACTCTTTATAAGGGTCACTACAATACCAAAATCAACTGTCTATAAAGGCCACTTTGTAGTTACGAAACCTCAATATAAAGGCCACCTGTCCACAAAGGCTACCTGTATACAAAGGCAACCTGTCTATAAAGGCCACTTCTCTCAAATCTCTTGTGTAGCCTTTACAGACAGGTTTATCTGTATTATATTGTACCTATCAGTCTTTCATCTCCTTAGTTGTAAAGACATCACTGAATGGTGATCACTATTGACAATCACATCACATTTGGTGAAATGCTTTGACGAAAAAACCCAAATATGCCGAGGGAATATATATAAATATTCCACAAAAATAAATAATTAAAAATGAGGTAAGAAAGAATGAAATAAAAAAAAAAACACAAATGTCCCCACTCCCTTACAGAAGATATGAAGATATGGGATTAGATTCAGAAGAAGAACAGGACGGACTGTGACAGTAAGGACAGACAAACCAAGGAAACACTTTATGCCCCAGCTACCCATCAAACATGAATAGGCTGAGGCATAAGATCAATTTAAATTATCTATTATTAAAAGCACTCAACAATATACTCATGTGTGGATGAAATCTCATATTTCTGAACATTCCTATTGCTGGAGATATGTTTTAGTACAAAGTGATATGAGAGTAGAGCACCATAAGAAAACGTTGTTATTAATATGTACAATGTCTTTGAATTTGTATAATTTTCCACCATCAATGGCTGCCATCAGAAGAATGTACAGAAATTTGGCCATCAGAAGAACGTACAGTAATTTGGCCATCAGAAGAACGTACAGAAATTTGGCCATCAGAAGAACGTACAGTAATTTGGCCATCAGAAGAACGTACAGTAATTTGGCCATCAGAAGAATGTACAGAAATTTGGCCATCAGAAGAACGTACAGTAATTTGGCCATCAGAAGAACGTACAGTAATTTGGCCATCAGAAGAACGTACAGAAATTTAGCCATCAGAAGAACGTACAGAAATTTAGCCATCAGAAGAACGTACAGAAATTTGGCCATCAGAAGAACGTACAGAAATTTGGCCATCAGAAGAACGTACAGAAATTTGGCCATCAGAAGAACGTACAGACATTGCAGTTTTTGTTCAGTATTCTCAAAAATCTTTTTTACTTCTTTATACAAATCCTGTATATGTATAGCTACTGCTATCATTATCACAACCCAATTTATGTTTTTCACTGATATAACTAACTATCCCTGTCCAATTCAGGAAGTTTGTTTATACTGGTGTGTGAGTGTATGACTAACAGTAGTGTACCTGGTACACAAGGGGTGGAGGAGGAAATGCTATTGTGTCCACGTCAATACCAATAGTCATAATACAGAATTCCACAAGTCCACGACTAGAGATAAACTAGATGACATGCTCATCCTAACAAAGAGTTTAAATATACTAATCTCTGACACTCATCAGCCAATCAGAACACAAGGTGTGGGCAGGGTCTGATAAAATCACCACAGCCACAGACTTGCAGCCATCACTTTGGATGTGAAAGTGTCAGATATCCTGTATTTGTCCTATCTACATCTGTCTATCTTAAGGGCACAAGGTCATGGCGGTCAAATAATGTGTGATGGTTGGATAAATCCAGTGTCATGATCGGAAATATAAAAGTCAGATTGCTGTGTAAAAATACATGAAAATCATGTTCCCTCAACATTTAATAAATACAATGTTTAAGCCAAAGTCATATTTTCACTTCTCATCGGAATATATATATATATTTTTTAATTAAAAATTTATTTGGTGTAAGCATATACAGGACCAACAAAGATTTAATATCACAACAATTTTACAATTTCATATAAACCTTTTTTTTTTATTTGGATAATGCCCCAATCTAGCAATTGGTTCAAGAAACCAAAAACATATGTGTAAAACATTAAGCCCTAAGGCACATAAACATACAAGACCATATCTGATAAATATACTGTATAATCACTGTCTTATTACTCAGAAAACCTTAACAAATGCATTGCTGGTTATAATATAAATATCATACCCTAGAATAAACATCTGAGGTATCTTTGTTGGTATTTTTTGACAGTAAAGAAAATCTGATAAAATTTAAATAAACAAGACACAAAAGTTGAATGGTGGAAGAATTTGTGAGACTGTCGCTGGTTTTGATGACGTTTAATTTTCTGAGTAAGCCAAGCGTGACCTGTCAGTCATACAGTCCTATCACCTGTCCAGTACACCATACCTGTCTTATCTTGCCTGTCCAGCCCACGATACCTGTTCGCACTAATTGGAGAGGTGAAGATACAACCTTTGTTATCTCCCCTGTCTGATCATTATCTATAACCTACCGTCGCCACTTGGTCTATGTCGGTTCAGTGTATGTATTTCATACTTTCTTTTGAGGATGAGCTCTACCTGTACTTTGATCAGGACAATACTGTTCAGATTCACGACCTCTTCGTCCGTTATGACCCCGGCCACGAGCCTCACCATCACTGTAATGGCGCCTACGGTCATCATCTCCATTGTAACCGCGGCTGCTACTGTACCCATGATGCATGTTTTTTTCATCATCACTTTGATAGTCATTTCTGCGATACCCACGCCCCCGTGTCCGGCCATAATTATGATGGTGGTTATGAGCATTGTCAGAATGCCGGTGATCTACCTCCCTCCATCCTCCACCTCTCTCCTTGTGTGATTCTAGTGACCCATCGTCCAACGTTTCCGCCCTATTTGAGTGATGTGAGTCCTTATTTTCTGACCCTGAAGGCCCAACAGAAGCTGGTGATGTTGGTAAACATTGAGATATATTTTTCCCTTTTCTGCCCCTATGTTGACTTTTTACAAGTGGTTTGCTATCAGGGGCATTGTAGCTGTTTGCCTTGCCCCCGTCAGACAAGTCCCCATCTGACAGAAAACTACCTGTGCGTGGTTTAGGGTCACTAAAACTTCGCTGATAATCTCCACCTGATAAAACATCCCTTTGGGAGCCTCTGACTTTATGTACTGAATAATGACCTCTACCTCGACCATCACCCCTACCTTGACGTTTACCTCTGTTGTAACGTTGGTTGTCATAGTAATCATTTCTATTATCCCTATACCTATGTCTATCTTCACCTCTATATCGACCCCTATGACCCCTGTTTATATGGTTACCACCCCTGTTGTCATGGAAACCATCTTTATTATCATGAAGACTCCGGCGGTCATTACTTTCATGGTGTGAGCTGTTATATCCCTCGTCCCCAGACTTTTGTAAATTTGGAGATTGTTTAGCCTGTCCTGCTGTTGGCTGTCTCTGACACAGACATCGATTACACACATCTGCATAGGAATTGGTATGTGTATCCTGCCCATCACTACTAACAGGTTCTGATATCACAAAACTCACTTTCAAATCACGAGCAGTGTCACGAGATATTTTAGAATTGTCATGTTTAGTGCTTTTGCCTCCTGAACTTGAGCTGTCAGAACTTGTGACGTTATGTGATGAAAACGATGATTCTTGAGAAGAGGAGTGAGGCACTTGTGACAGCTGGTTGGTATGGAACCACGGTGATTGCTGTCGTAACACATGTTGAGCTGGTGATGGTGTTGACCATGGTGATGATCCCTGGGAGTAAGGCGAGCTGGTGGCAGACAGAGAGGGGGAGCTGGGAGGGGTCTGGGAAGGATGGAAAGGGTAAAGTACTAAGGGAGTTCCAGGGATAGGTTTCGCCTGGACACTTGAGAAGATGGCTGGAGAGGAGGGCTTCCGTCCCGACACCACACTCGCCCAAACACTGGAGTTATTACCTGCAAAAAGGAGAGTAAATATGATAACCTTTCCATGATATCATTAAAGAAGACAATTTACCATACATGTACCTCATTCACAGTTAGGATGTATCTAACAGTAGTGATTTCTGTGCTAGGGAATACCTCCAATGTATAGCTGAGATATCACACAACAAGAGCGTAGCTTTTTTTCTGATATCCCACACCCAGACTGCAGTTTTCTTGGTATCCTTTACCCAGAATGTAGCTTCTTTTTTGATATCCAAAACCAAGAATGTTGCTTTGATACCACACAATCTGGTGTGACTTTGACACCACACAACCTAGGTGTAACTTTGACACCACACAACCTTGGTGTAACTTTGACACCACACAACCTAGGTGTAGCTTTGTTACCACACAACCCAGGTGTAGCTTTGATACCACACAACCTTGGTGTAACTTTGTTACCACACAACCCAGGTGTAGCTTTGTTACCACACAACCTGGGTGTAACTTTGTTACCACACAACCTGGGTGTAGCTTTGTTACCACACAACCTGGGTGTAGTGTAACCCTATGCAAGGTTATCTGCCCTTGCTTTAGATATTAGGCAGTATTATCTGTTTTGGTTCTATTACTGAGTTGATGTTTATAATATTTAATTATTAAGCAGAATTATCTGTTTTAGTTATATGTTCTGACACACAGTCATTGTTCTGTGGGGGACATATATTAAGGTCACTTTACTACGCTGTACTGCTGCTGCTGAGGCAGGTGCACAAACTGCGCAATAGTTAATACCTAAAACGCTGACAAATGTTTATGTGACGTAATTTTTGAAAGTCTTTTGTTTACACTGGGAGACCGGACCTTGGCGTGTGTGGCCGAATTGAAGGCTTTGTATTTGTTTTCGACTGTTTTGGCTCCAGAATGTCTGGGATTCAATTCAAAATTAGTAATAGTTTGACAGCCTTGGTCAACCGGGGTCACCCATCAAATTTGACAGTCACGTAGGCATTAGACATAAATAGGAGGGGACAAGATCGTTCCTCACTCCGGTCACTAGACAGCGTATTGGACGGACTGGTGTCACGAGGCCTGGGACCAGGGCAGGTACGGGAGCGAGAGAATTTCGTAAGCTTACCGGAAATAAAAGGCATTTTTCTTCGCCTTCGGTAGTCCTTTAATTGTGTCTCTCAAACGGTTCGAGAGGGTTACAGTAGCTTTGATACCACACAACCTAGGTGTGACTTTGACACCACACAACCTGGGTGCAGCTTTGATACCACACAACCTGGGTGCAGCTTTGCTACCACAACCTAGGTGCAGCTTTGATACCACACAACCTGGGTGCAGCTTTGATACCACACAACCCGGGTGCAGCTTTGATACCACACAACCTGGGTGCAGCTTTGATACCACACCTAACTATAGTCAATACAGGGACAGCTTTGATAATTTTTGTATTGACTGTAATATCAATTCATAATTCTGAAAATTAATAGTGAAATCATTAACTAATCCTGGAACATCCACCTGGTATTAAAAGCTTTTCATTAAAACAATTACATATCAAATCACTTCACATTCAACGTCCTGGGGAGAAGACATTTTTTTATAAAGTTTTAACAAATATGAACCCTTTGGCTTTAAATATTGGCCAAAGTATTTTCTTTTCATGGTCTTTATAGTGCTTCTTCCTTGGAACCTATCACCAGATAAATATCTTGGTTTTCAGCCTTCCAGTTAATCAGATGATTTTGTATTAAGCTTTTTCTTGTAACCTTGAATAAGGGTCAAAGTCATTTATTTTTGGAAACTTTGTCATCTCAGGAACCGATGGGACTTTCAACAATTGTGAGCTAAAATGTAGTATCCTATAGGCATCAAAGTAAATTAGAAGATTTAATCAGAAAATGTGCCATGTCTCACTGATATCTGTTTGATTCTCGTCCCCTTGTGCTATACTGTATGAACAAAGTGGCACAACCCCATCACCTTAGAAACACTCCTGTACCCCCTGTCTCTCTATATCAAACTTCAGAGTTTATGTATTAGTAGCTACACAAACTGCAGAGAGTTTACATATAGAGTCAGTCCGGGTCATTTGGACGTTTTGATTAAATCACTTGTATCCAGGCTCCATTTCAAGTACACCTTCAAAGGCCTGGACAGGACTAATGAGGAGCAATCCCACATCTAAAACAGCCATCGAATCTGCTCGTCAGACTTAATTATAGTACTTTTTGGTTTTCTACATGTCATTTAACCCATAAGAAAAATGATTCACCAGCAAATTTTGGGATTATAACAAGATCAAGAAGCAATACAACTTCAAAAATTAATAGTGATATTATTTCTGATAAATTCTATGAATTTCAACACATATATAAACCCTTTACAAATTACAACTTCAACAAGGAACTTGAATATATTATAGAATATTTAGTGAAAAGAAAGCCTCACTACTTGACAAAAAAGTGAAAACAAAAACATTTTGAAATAGAATCCTCAGAGAGTTTTTATTCAACTAGCTTCCAAAACATAGCTGCAAGCCATTAGAGGGATGGGTAGCTAATTACGTTATGTAAATTCTATCTCATTGTTTTAGGACAGGAGAGGAAATTGATATGTAAATGTTTATCAGTAAAAAGTAAACAGTCGGTAATTCCTGGCAGAACAAATCTCCTTAAACTTATCTCTCCTGTCAACCACATGTAACTATCCTCTGATATCTATGGATTTTATGTCTCAAGCAACATCTCATGTACAACTGATCTCAAGTGTTCAGATCCCTGTCAGGTAGGACAAATTAGGAACCAGATTTCTGTATCACTGTCAGTAACTAGATCCTTGTCAGGTAGGACACATTAGGGACCAGATCCTTGTCAGGTAGGACACATTAGGGACCAGATAACTGTATCATTGTCAGTAACCAGATCTTTGTTAGGTAGGACACATTAGGGACCAGATCCTTGTCAGGTAGGACACATTAGGGACCAGATCCTTGTCAGGTAGGACACATTAGGGACCAGATCCTTGTCAGGTAGGACACATTAGGGACCAGATCCTTGTCAGGTAGGTAGGACACATTAGGTACCAGATCCTTGTCAGGTAGGACACATTAGGGACCAGATCCTTGTCAGGTAGGACACATTAGGGACCAGATCCTTGTCAGGTAGGACACATTAGGGACCAGATCCTTGTCAGGTAGGACACATTAGGGACCAGATCCTTGTCAGGTAGGACACATTAGGGACACATAGGGACCAGATAGGGGACCAGATCCTTGTCACCAGGTAGGACACATTAGGGACCAGATCCTTGTCAGGTACGACACATTAGGGACCAGATCCTTGTCAGGTACGACACATTAGGGACCAGATCCTTGTCAGGTACGACACATTAGGGACCAGATCCTTGTCAGGTAGGACACATTAGGGACCAGATCCTTGTCAGGTAGGACACATTAGGGACCAGATCCTTGTTAGGTAGGACACATTAGGGACCAGATCCTTGTCAGGTAGGACACATTAGGGACCAGATCCTTGTCAGGTAGGACACATTAGGGACCATATCCTTGTCAGGTAGGACACATTAGGGACCTGATAACTTGATGTAAATCACTTCTGATATAACCAGGTATATTCTTAAGCAACTGTTACATGTGATTTTTTCTGGTATAAAAAGCCCTATCACTGTTCAATAGGATCACAAACTAATACTATATCTTTGTTCTGTAATAAGGCTGTCCAATGATATTAAGTGAGCAGAAGTTAATTGACTTCCTGGAATTAGCAGGATAATTACAAGAGTTATGATCAAGCAGAATGTTATTATTTTAGGGTATTCTTATTCAGTTTTCATTTTATAAAATCTATTTTTAGAAATTGGTGACTTCTGATTCATTCTTTACCTTTCAACAAAAGAGAAACCTAGGTTCTCCCTTGCCTACTGGTTAGGTGGAAGTCTCTCATAGTTTATCAGGATGACAAATATTTCAGCTGTAGAACATTTTCATTGAATATATATCCAGAAGTAACAGGACCTTATAAATAGATAAGTAATCATTATCACAATGAAACACAATCCATACACTGTGTACTTACTTTTGATGGATTCTGGCAGAGAGACCGTCCCCAGAGACTGACGTTTGTTCCAGTAGCCCTGGAGTTGAGGTGAAGTTTGGTTACCATGTGCAGACGGTGACACTGACTGAGAAGGTCGTGCAGGAGACGCTGGAAGAGTGTCCACAGACAATGGCGGTGATTCTGTACTCAGGAGAGTTAAGATCACAACCTTCTGACCGGAGGTTGTTACACTAGCGTCAAGTTTGTGATGGTACTTAATAGATTTGGGTTTCTTCACTGTGGACTAAGTAAGAAAGCATTTGTAAGAGAAGTAATCAAAACAGATAAATAAATAAATGGATAAATTGTTTCCTTTAATTAATATTTTGAATAACTTTTTGATATTGTCACATGAAAGAAAGTATCAAAGATAAAGAAAGAAAGGCAACGATCAATACATTAAGTGTTTAAATTCATATTCTTATGTTAAATTCTAGTCATTAAATGATGAAGTGTACATTTTTTGTAACTTACCTCAAACTGGACATTACATTCGACCTCTATGTCGGGTCCCAAGCCTGTCTGCCATTTCTCCATAATAAATGGAGGCTGTCCAAGAAAAACAGAATATCAAACACTTTCATAAAACCATTCTGTCTTTTGATATACTAAATGGAATCCGACAAAAATCTCGTGAAATTTTAATGAAACTGTACCGAAATGAATATGCTTGCTTGACCTCTGACCTTCAATGCCTTCTAAGCTTGTTTAACATTGATTCACATGAGTCACATTCAAGACATGAAAATAACTTGCACCTTCATCATTACACATTAAAGCAGGTTAGTCTATATATATTTAAATATTAGCCATCAAACACCATGTATCAAACACCGGAGGTCTCTGATCATCACCGGTGACGTAATTAGTGTTTGATTAAATTACCAAGACAATGTGTTGTTTTTATCATCGCAGACTGCTGCACCTACAATATCATCAAGTCTTTTACAAGACACTTTGTGAAGCTTTCACTTATAATCTATCATGTCCTATCTGTAATAATGGTTGGTAATAACACCCATAGACTTCCTCAAAGTCGACTCATAATCGCTTAATTATCTCCCTTGTATGATAGGTATTAAGAGTTCCTGTAGTATCTCTGTGTTGCATGTGATGAAAGGCAGTAAAATCACTTTTCACCGTCGTTAGAGCTAGGCTTCCTCTACAAACTGTCTAACATATCAGCCAATGTTTCTGATGTTTAATTTCACATCATTTCTTTTCAAAGTTCAATAAACCAATGAAGATATGCTCTTGTTTTTTAAAAATACACGTTAAAATGTATGATTTTTACTCTTTCCCAGGTATCTACTTTTAGATGTAATTTATCCACAGTAAAATACATCTTGTATTACCATTCTGGGTCTTCTGGAACTTGAAGACTCTTTTGGTCTTTTTTTACATGTTTTTCCTCTGTGACCTTAAAAATAGGTCAAGGTCATTCATATGAAGTAAGTTCATAGAACTGAATCCTATATGGTATGATGTACACAGTGTGATGTGTGTGATTTAGATATTATCGTATAACCATTTACATATCACATCCCTTATCAGCCCGAGTGTCCTGATATCAGTCAGCGCTTGAGGTTGGTATCAAGACTGGAGGACTGGTTAGAGGCACAATTCTTGTCATAGGTTCTTCTAAAATGGTCTCACCATGCTTAGCGTTAACATTCGCAAATGACAGCTGCAGGTGTATCACTAATATGATAAATCAATCCAGAAATGGCACCATCTGGAAATCTGAGCGGGATTCTACACAATTTTTTGTAAGAAAGAAATTGCATTTCTTCCAGGCCAATATTATGTATGTTCAAATAAGATAGCAATAAGAAGAAGTGACAAAATATGAAAATTTGAGAGGGGTTGTGATATCACTTTCTTGTGGGTGTGATATCACTTTCTTGTGGGTGTGATATCACTTTCTTGTGGGTGTGATATCACTTTCTAGGAGGTGTGATATCACTTCAGGAGGTGTGATATCACTTTAGTGTGTGATATCACTGGGGCCGAGATCATCTTGTGGAAATTTCAGACTTATCACACATATAAAAAAAAGTGTTATCAGTAGTAAACATTTTATAAAGATATACACATATATATCTACATGGTGAGATGTAAATACTTACATGGTCTATTTTGAAGATTCCATGGTTTGAAGAACAAATAAAACTGACACTTTTGATCAAGGTTATTGGGACAACATCCTTGTCTTCCTCTTCATCCTCATCATCCATCTCCATGTACATCTTCCACTTGTGGTCCTAAAACACACACAACTATAGAATACAGTACAGGTTTGTCAAAATTGGTCCAATTTGGGTCATATCACAAAGTCGGACAAGGTCAAACTATAACAGATATGTATGTCATGGATTTGATATCAAATGTAAAATAAGACATTGTGTAGGTCATAAAGAAGGCCAGAAAAGAGATAAGTACAGTACTAGAGACTTACTTACAGATTTACAACCATATCTAACTTGTACTGAAAATAGTAACATCCCCTAGCAGTAACAAAAGTTGAATTTTATTTTAAACAGATTTTCTAATCTTCATTGATTATGATCCCTTCATTTTCAGAAGTACCTAGAATACAAAATAACATTTACACAAATTTTGTTCTCAAAAAAGAAAACTTATATAATCCTGATTTTTCCTTGCCATTGATATACAACATTTTTATAATTAATGGTAAATCCTGCGTAAACCCTGATTTTTCCTGCCATTTATTTACAACATCTTTATAATTAATGGTAAATCCTGCGTAAACCCTGATTTTTCCTGCCATAGATTTTTCCTGCCATAGATTTACAATATTGTTATAATTAATGGTAAATCCTGCGTAAACCCTGATTTTTCCTGCCATAGATTTACAATATTGTTATAATTAATGGTAAATCCTGCGTAAACCCTGATTTTTCCCTGTCCTTGATTTACAACATTGTTATAATTAATGGTAAATCCCCGTAAACCCTGATTTTTCCTGCCATAGATTTACAACATCTTTATAATTAATGGTAAATCCTGCGTAAACCCTGATTTTTCCTGCCATAGATTTACTTTTGATTTTTAAGATCACCAGTAAATTCTCTTTGTACTTATGGAAGAAGTTTGGGGTGTTGATAACATGCTAGGGAACAAAACCCAGAGTTGGCTGTGTGTTGTCAACTGGATTGGTTTGAACCAAGAAGTTAGTGTGTATACATCAGGCAATATAAACACATCTGAAGTGGTTTGAGAATACACCAAACACATCTACCACCCAACTCCTAATCCTGTAGGATGTGACTTCAGTATAATGACACATTATTATAACAATGTCAATATCTACCACCCACCTCCTCGTCTTGTAGGATGTGACTTCAGTATAATGACACATTATTACGACAATGTCAATATCTACCACCCACCTCCTCGTCCTGTAGGATGTGACTTCAGTATAATGACACATTATTACGACATTGTCAGTATCTACCACCCACCTCCTCGTCCTGTAGGATGTGACTTCAGCATAAATGACACATTATTACGACATTGTCAGTATCTACCACCCACCTCCTCGTCCTGTAGGATGTGACTTCAGTATAATGACACATTATTACGACATTGTCAGTATCTACCACCCACCTCCTCGTCCTGTAGGATGTGACTTCAGTATAATGACACATTATTACGACATTGTCAGTATCTACCACCCACCTCCTCGTCCTGTAGGATGTGACTTCAGTATAATGACACATTATTACGACATTGTCAGTATCTACCACCCACCTCCTCGTCCTGTAGGATGTGACTTCAGTATATCCTTTTCTTTAATCAGACTAAGACACTCAGTGATTTATACATGAAATCTGGTTACTGTGGTACCTCGGTATTTATATGCTTTACAAGGAATTCAGTGAATTACATGTACATGTATTCTAAACATTGATAAAAAGTTCAAGTACAAACTTTCCCCTCTCTTCTAGATATTCTGGTTTCAAATGAGTAAAACAAAAACTATTCCACATTATAAATTGCATTTTTTATTGAAGGTGAGCACAACATTTCAAGTCAGTTGTTTTAGAGGAAACAAAACCATTTACAAATTGGGAAAGATTTGTTTTTAGTGCCCTTTACTCAAATGTTGACAGAAAGTGATTAAATTGTTTACATCTGAGAAAGTAGTTTTAAGATTCAGAAGCTTTCCTATTCTTACCAAAATTTTTAACAGAATTTTGGATGTGGGGTGCTGAAGGAATCCTCAACATAAAATAGGATTTCTTGGGACAACAGAATATCTATGATAAATTACCCTTGGTATGAATAAAATTTCTTCTTGGTATATAAATAGAAATTCATTTTGGAATGAATACATTTTTTTCTTAGTGTGAGTAAAAAATTATCTTTTATACCAATAAAATGATCTTGGAAAGCCGTTCAAATATTTTTGAATCAGAGCATTCATTAACAATAAGAAATTATCCTTGCTACAAAATAAAAAGATCTTAGGACTAAATTCCTCCAGGTACAAATGAAATCAGAGTAATCCTTATGAAATTCTCTTTGATACCAATAAGAATGTCTTGGACACCAAAACTCTCATTAAGAAATTCTCCCGACACAAATAAAATGATCTATGAATGCTATACAAAGATCTTGGAAAGCAAAATTTTCCAGAATAAAATTTCTCTTGAGGCACATGATGTAAAATTATCCTGCAAAAAGATGAAATAAGTCATAGAATTAATTCTGCAGAAATTACACATTCTCTGGAAAACTGGTACACATGTGGAATGGAGACGAGTTTCCCAACATAAAAAAATAGCCCTGTGTGATACAGACTGTAACAGTAAATAGCTGATTGTCGGAACGGTTCTCAACAACTTGGGATATTTACAATGTGTGGCCATTCACACACCATCAACTGCTTTCACTAAACTATTGTTATGAAAACTTTGCCAAAACAGCATAATTTCTTGGCTTGGTGTCAAAACTCATATTGGAGAGCCAAAATGAAAGTATAAATCATCAAATAGTTAAAAACCATAATAAAAAAATGAAAATTATTGAATTTATGTGTCAGAGGGTGTTTTCCGTGTTCTTAAAGCAGGAATCTGTCGATAAATAACATTTCTACAATACGTGAGATTTAATAGCAGTTACACAACATAATTATTTTGAGTGTTAAACTTCCATCAATAAAAAGGAAGAATAATGTATCATACAGAACTACATAAAGCGTTATTTGCTACAGTCTATTTATTTCAGAATAACATTTTAAATTATTAGATATTTCATAAAAAGTGACATATATTGGAGTATTGTGCAAGTAAATAAAAAGAATTCTTTTGATGAAGTAAATGCATTTTGTTCTTTCGAAACCATATGTAAACTTATGTTTGATTTTTCAGCAGGTATGTAACTTAAATGACTTTAATTTATCATACAAGCTATACAAACAGGGAATTTTATTGTTATATGTCTAGGGGCGGGGTCAACTTAGGGGTCAGTTGAGCAGGTATGACATCAAGATGTATCAGGACTTCCAATGTAACAGTGAATAAATGGCCAGCAGAGGGACAGATGTGGCACTAAGGGAGAAAGGAAAGGCCAAGGGAAGGTGTGGCACTATGGGAGAAAGGAAAGGTTAGGGGCAGGTGTGGCACTACAGGGGAAAGAAAAGGTGAGGAGAAGGTGTGGCACTAAGGAAGAAAGAGAAGGCGAGGGGCAGGTGTGGCACTAAGGGAGAAAGAGAAGGTGAGGGGAAGGTGTGGCACTATGGGAGAAAGGAAAGGTTAGGAGCAGTTGTGGCACTAAGGGAGAAAGGAAAGTCCTTGGAAAGGTGTAACACTATGGAATGAGTTTGGGGTGGCATTGAGATGTTTTGGTGGCTCTAATGTTAAATGTCCAGCAGAGGGGTTGAGAGTGGTCAGATTGGGGTAGCTGATCAAGAGGGACATCAGGTTCTGGAAAGATGAGACACTCAACGATAAGTGTTCTGGGATGAGGGGGAGATGTTTAAGTGTGTCATTGAGGTTGGGTATTACCAAGTAAAAACATCTTAAGATGAATTTCTTACCGACCTGTCCTACACAGAACAGATGTATACATGCTGTTGATAGCCTGCTCTATGCAAGATTTGTAATTGTAACATTGTCATGGCAACAGTTTCAAAAGTAATTATAACATATACACACCAGATATACTTCTAATTTATGATTATACAAAGCTGAAAGCAAAAAATCTGGCATTTGTCATTTTTTAGAAGAAAAATAATTGCCTTGACAAAGTGCATGGTGAAATAGTCAAGGACCATAAATAGTTCTGCTTTCATTACAAAAAAGTGTGTACCCAGAACAAATGTACTGAGATGTTTCTGTCCTTTCTACCTTCTTAAACTTAAATATGAAAATATATCTTTTTGATAACTTTATTATTAAACCACCACATATTCTATACAAGAGTATAATATCTCCAACAGAATAGGTTTTTTATGTAAAAAGCAGTTAAAACAGAAAATTGAAACACAGTCAATCATAAATATAAACAGAATGCCCAAGGCTGTCAAAAACAAGGAATGCATCATTTTCAGTACTGTGACATAATGACTTGATGGGATGTTTTACAGGATAACACGAAACAGATTGTGAATTTATATTTAATCTTGGGTTCAATGTAACAGTATCTTTCTTGTCATAGTTATTTCTTGTAAATAGGAAACATATTTCTTACGCTAACAACTCTTGGTGGTTTTAACCAACACTTTTATCACACATAAAAAAAAAATCATGATTATTTTATTAATCTTGAAATTTTAATGTATTTAGTTTCTGTGATTTTAATAATTCCTCAAAAATGGGTAAAAATACCGGACACATCAGAGAACGGTACTGGCAGATTAAAATCTGAATCTAAGCAGATTTCAAAGAAAATCCATGAAGTTTCTGAATCTTTAAAACACAAGTAAAACTGAAAAAAATGAAATCAGACTGCCTTTTAGAGACAAGACGTGTTTTCGGAGTTCAAAAACCTATTGACTTGAACTGAATTGGTAGCTATTATGTATAGATCTGTTATTATTTAAAAGAATGTTCACATCAAATCTGTGAACAAATCATTAAGTTTCACAATGACTGGTACAAATTTAAATATTTATGGAAATATAAGTATTCCATCAATTTTTCAAGTTGTGTACCTCTGCTCCCTTAAACCTGTCTAAAATCAATGAGAACCCATTATACATATCTCCCCCTGAATGAATGAACATAACTCTCGCGAA